GATCGCAGAGAAGCGATATCTTCGGCTAGAGATCCCCCCTTTTGTGAGAGACTCTCAACAGCTGATTTTATGCCGGAAACGACATCATCTATTATCTTTTGCTGTTCTCCTTGGCTTTGACATGTGCTTTGTAAAAGCGAAATATCTTGTTCAAAGGACATTTGCTTCGCCCCATGACTTTCAGAAGTTTTTTGCAAGGACAATATTTCCTTTTCTAAAGAAGTTTGTTCTGCGCCCTGATTATCAGATGTGCTTCGCAGCAATATGTCCTTTTCAAGGGACTTTTGCTTGACATCCTGGTTCCGAGAGGTAGTTTGTAAGGATGATATGTCGTTTTCTAAGGATTTATGCTTTTCCCCCTGCTTTTCAATAAGAGCAGAATTTTGCTCATGGAGCGACTTGACAGCTTTAATGCCTTTCGTGAGCCTGTCTGAAAGGTTTTCTGTCTCTTGCTGGAGCTTCTGCATCTTTGTGGGATCAGACTGACTTTTGATAAAGTTTATGGTGCGTCCCTGCATTTCAACTGTTGTCTTGAGCTGATTATGCTCAAAAGAGGTTGTAGAGGTAGCTGGCTGGTTGTTTGTGGCGGTTATCCTTTCGTCCATCATCGTGCTGACGCCGTCGAGCTTCTGCTCGAGCCGGCTGAGCTTCTCCTCTAACAATTGGTGTTGCTGTCGACCTTCTTCGACTTTATTTTCCAGAAGTTGAGTTTTTTTCTTCTCGTTCTCAAGGCTCTCCACCAGTTTCTGGATCTCGCTAATGTCTGGCCCCTGAGCGACTGATAAGGAGTTTTTGAGCTTGTTCAGCTCAGTCTGTAAGCAATCTTCCACCCATGCCTTTGTTGGCGGGTGCGGTTCCAGCGATTGTGGCTGAAGCTCTGCTGGGGAGCCCAGGGCCTTCGTCGGGAACAGATCGGCTCCTTCCTGGGGTTTGGGTCCTATGGAAGCTTGATCATGCACGTATTGCTTCAAGAACGAATCGAAAGTATCATAAAGCGTTGGGTGCAGCTCTTTGATCTTTTGCTTGAGACTGTTCTTTTCGTTCTCGCATTTTTGGACAGCCTGACGTTGCATCTCGTCAACCGAAGGATATTCGGAAACTTTGGTAGATGAGCGTTTCCAGTCAGACATCGTTTTCTTAAGCTTGCTATCAGCTTGGTTGTGCTGCATGCGCAGACAGGCTGCTTTGCCGAGTAGGTCTATGACATGTGGCAGACCTTCAACTTTGGTGGCGCGCGGCTCGGCTGTAGCGTTCGATATTGAACCTAAATGGTGTATGTCAGCGATACTCTGGCCATGTTCTTTCTCAAGACTTGGGCTCTTACCGCGATCGCTAGCATTCGTTGACCTCCTGGAAGAAGATATTTCCAGAGGCGGTTTGCTATATTTACCGTAAGGCAATGCTCCCCCCTTCCCACTACCCCTCCCTCGATCATAGTCTGCATCTCTGGAATGAGACGATTCATCTCGGCGATGTGACAAACGGTCGGGGAATAAGTCTGATGGGGAGCTACCGGCTGGTCGGCGACCGTATCGATCGTCTCTACCAGCCATTGCGGCTCCGGTAGTAAAATAGAGCCTTAAGCATCCGTCGAAATGATGGGTAAAGGATTCGAGACAGGACGAATGCCGTGCGCCGTTGGTTGCGAATCGAAGTGGCCCAAGGAGGAGGGCGAGAGGGTATCGTTGAGGACGCTATGCGGCCGAAGGAATTAAGGGGATCGAATAAGGACTGCGCTAAAAAGGTAGTACTTTGTACCAATGGAACACAGGGCCTAATAGGTAATCAGGTACTGCGTTGGGTGGTGGTTGGACAAATAGTTGAGTATGGCGGGAGGCAATCGCGTCGAAGAATCGGCTGGGCGTGTGAGGACCTAGAGAGTGTGTGGCAACGCCTAGTGGAAAAAACAAAGGAGAGTTAGAGAGCCTCGAGTTGAAGAAAGAACAAAAGGAGTGAGAGAGGAGAAGGAGAGGAAAAGGAAAGGAAAGCGTGTGCATTGAACGAATGAGGATAGAAGAAGAGAGAAGAGGGAAAAAGTAATGCGAGGCGACACAAAAGCGGGAGCACGGATGTTAAGGTAAGGTAGCTAGCCGGTTCATGAAGAGAAAGAAAGAAGAAAAACAAGAAAAGACATAAAAAGAACCAACCAATTAATAAGGTATCTGTTACAGCAGGACCAGGGCTACGCAGTGTGGAGTTCAGTTCGTGTGGATTATCATCATATAATATAAGGTACCTTGGGTAGGTACAGTAGTTACGGATGAATTCATCAAATAGTTATTTGGGGCAGCTCAGCTATTAAATGTAGACCCCTAATCCTCGCTGAATAACTGCCTAGACTATCAGAGTCTAGACTCATCTAAGAAAGAATAGCGGTTGGTCCGATGATGGGTGCTTGCCCAGATAATTGGCACTAATGATTTTAGTCTCTATAAAGTGGAGGGGAAGCATCCTCTCTCTCTATTCTCGTCATACAGTAAGGTACCTTAGAGAGGACAGCACAGGGCCAAATTAACTACTAACTAATCTAGGTACTAATAAGGTAAGGTAGCTTCTATGGATAATTATTTATTAGGTGACTTAGCCACTTGACTCATGGTGAAAGTTTACAGACTCGAGGAGATGTTACAGACTCCTTGCTTTAGTTGCTCCAGCAGCTGGAGCTGAATGGATATCTGAGAGTGTCAGGTTAGGTACTCGCGTGTAATCGCGTCCATGCAGCACAGTACCGAGTTGTGGAGTCACATGGAATGAGTGGATCACTAATGTGGCGGTGCGCATTGAGCACGTGGCGCTAGGCGTTAGGCGCTAATTGTCAAGCGCTAAGCGATAGCCGCGTACTAACAATTTTTTACTTGAAAGTTATGCGCAGGCTCGTGCAGCTGTCGCGATCTAGCTCCCAGCCCTGTTCCTCAGGCTTTCTTCATTAAAGTCGTTGCCTCACAACTCAATTTCATAACGATTACTTACGTTACACTCGCGCATAACACGCGACAAGATGGCTGCCGTAAGTTGAATTTACTTGTACCTTGCGCGCACTCAATTGCTTACACTAAATTTCACAGCCTGTGATGACCGTGTCCGAGTCCAAAGACCTTCGAGGTCTGAACCTGATCGCAGCACACTCCCACATTCGAGGTCTTGGTGTGGATGCAATAACCCTTGAACCTCGAGCTTCTTCTCAGGGTCTCGTTGGACAGGAGAAGGCGCGAAAGGCTGCTGCTGTCATCTTGCAGATGATCAAGGATGGAAAGATTGCTGGTCGTGCTGTTCTCATTGCTGGACCCCCTAGGTAGGTATACTTCCAATCACCTTCACCGTACAGCGCGCATTGACACATATAAAGCACAGGAAAGACTGCCATCGCCATGGGTATGGCCCAGTCTCTAGGCCCCGACGTTCCTTTCACAACACTTGCCTCATCAGAAATCTTTTCGCTCGAAATGTCCAAGACAGAAGCCCTTACCCAAGCCTTCCGAAAGTCCATTGGTGTCCGAATAAAGGAAGAGAGCGAAATTATGGAGGGAGAAGTTGTTGAGATCCAGATCGACCGCAGTGTGACTGGGAGCGCAAAGCAGGGAAAGCTAACTATCAAGACCACCGACATGGAGGCAGTCTACGATATGGGTAGCAAGATGATCGATGCCATGACCAAGGAACGCGTTATGGCAGGCGATATTATCTCGATAGACAAGTCTTCTGGAAAGATCACCAAACTCGGCCGATCGTATGCCCGATCTCGCGACTACGATGCCATGGGTGTCGATACCAAATTCCTCCAGTGCCCCGATGGAGAGCTCCAAAAGCGCAAGGAGGTTGTTCACACCGTCACACTACACGAGATCGATGTAATCAACTCAAGAACCCAGGGCTTCCTTGCTCTCTTCTCGGGCGATACTGGCGAAATCCGCAGCGAGATCCGAGATCAGATTAACACAAAGGTCGGCGAGTGGAAGGAAGAGGGCAAGGCTGAGATTGTTCCTGGTGTCTTGTTCATCGATGAAGTACATATGCTCGATATCGAGTGCTTTTCATACATCAACCGAGCCCTTGAGGACGACCTTGCTCCTGTGGTCATCATGGCCAGCAACCGAGGCAACTCCCGCATCCGCGGTACTGACTACCGCAGCCCTCATGGACTGCCTCTCGACTTCCTGGACCGAGTTGTCATCATCAACACGCATGGGTATAACCCTGAGGAGATCAAGCAGATCCTGTCCATCCGAGCCCAAGAAGAAGAGATCGATGTGCATCCCGACGCTCTCGCCCTTCTCACAAAAATCGGCCAGGAGGCAGGTCTCCGATACGCCAGTAACCTCATCAGCACTTCGCAACTTGTTTCTGCCAAGAGAAAAGCTAAGCAAGTCGAAGTCGGTGATGTGCAACGCAGCTTCCAGCTCTTCTATGATCCCGCCCGCAGTGTCAAATTTGTGGCCGATTCGGAGAAGCGCCTGATCGGCAACACAGGTGCAGTTGACTTCGCAGTACGCGGAGCGGCCAGCAACGGCGATGAGAAAATGGATCTTAGTTAATTATAATGGCGAGCACAGCCTGGCGTTAAAAGGGTATTGGGTTGTGAAGATGGTAGACCTGAAGTGAGATGGACATCTGTATCATACTGATTTGGGCGTAGAATGGGATAATACGAAAATCTTCAAAGAGCACTATAAACAAACAGTCTTACTCTGTTTCGACCCCCCAAGTGCAGCAGCGATGACGTCTCGTTTCAGAGAGGATATATCCAGATGCGTAGTTGATTCTAAATATTATGGTGAACAGAGAGAAGTACCGAGTGAGATACGGCGTTTCTGCTGTGAGTACTATATCTTGTAATTGAGCTGAAAATATCTAGCTGAAAATAATGAGACTTGTAACTGAGTATGTGATTGCAGTCAAAAGCCTAATGTTGTATCGGCTTCTATGAAAAACTATATACCTGAAGTCATGCCACAAACATCACTTCTCTCTCAGCATCATTCAGGGGCTATCGGGAGGCCCTTTCAAATCTTTGGGCAGGGCTGAGCGTGAGTGGGCGTAATATTAAAGTGCTTCGAAAAGGGGTCGTCAGTCGCAACACGAGGAACATGTTCAACAATACTCGCAATACGCTCAGACTGTTCTGCACCCCAGAAAGTACTCATAAAGGCAAATATGAGATCCAGTCCAGAAGTGACCTAAGGGAGGGAGTATCCAATTAGAAACATCAACAGATTCAGGAGATCGATCAACCACTTACGCCAGAGGAAGACCAGACATTACCATCGATGACATAACGAGCGGGAGATACCCAGTTCACTCTGGGACCCATCTCCTTCATAGTTGCCCAGGCGTTCTTGTTAGTCGTTGCTAAATGCCCATCCAAAACACCCGATCTAGCTGCAACGCCCGCCCCAGTACAGATAGTCATGAGCATCTTGACCTTGGGATACATCTTTGCAATGTAATCCGTGACAGCCTGAAGATTCGGGTTCCTCGCGCCAGGGCCACCAGGAACAATGAGCAGATCCAGATCCAGGTCATCGTCGAATGTATTGGTTGGGGGGGATCGTTGGAAAGAAGCTCGAGTTGAATTTGTTCATGGCCAAAGGAGCTGTGCTGACTGGTTCAAGCGTCTCAGCGATGAGGTGAAGATTGAGCTGCTGGACACTGAGCGAGAGGATCTGGAGAGGATCTAGAGGACCAAAAACATCGATCATGTCGAGAGCCTGGAAGAGAATTACTCCAACGTTGCGGATTTGAGAGCCCGTGATGTTGGGGACGATGCCTGGAGTTATACAGGTTGGCTCAGCATCGCGCGAGTAGTGAGCAACATGGGCTTCGGGCCGAGAAATGGTTGAGGCAGAGCTGGTATTCAAGAGGGCAAGGCCACTGAGAAGAGAAATCGAAAACTTCATGTTCATAAAGCACCCTGATCTAGAGCTCGTGTTAAGATATGTACGTTCAGTAGGTAGTCAACAGAGCAAGACAAAAGAGCAAGGCACAGGTACTCTTGGAGGACAGAGATACTCGTCCATATATACTACCTACCTGGCATGCATCTCAAACGTCACCAGGAAATCCTTCTCTTAATCCGCGACAAATCCTCAATCCTCCATGTTCTTTGAAAGAAAAAAAAAACCTTCTCAAAATTGCGCTCAGCTTCCTGCAGCCATACCTTTGCAGCTCCCCGTCTACCAATCATTCTCAGGGGCTCGTTTATCTGATTGAAAACCCTTTCATAATTCTCCAGAGTGATCAAACAATCCCTCCTAAACTTGTGAACCAGTATCAAGGCCATCATCTTCCTCGTAGAGCTTAGACGACATTAAACCTGCAGTAAGAGGACGAATAATAGTTGGCAATGGAAAGATGCCAAGTTTCCGCTTACTATTAGCCAATAACAAGATCACCTTGATTGACTCGCTTCAGGTGTGCAACCTTGTTCGATACTCTCTCTCTATCCACTTAATCCTGGGACCCCTTGTTTCCATACTCATCAATTCCTGGATACGACGCGTGGTAGATATAGGTCACCATCTTGGGCAACGTCACTCAACAAGCGATCATCTCACTACTAAGACTGGTATGACTTGTTTATTTCATTCTCGTGTTTCTCATGTAATGTACCTCTCCAGCCGCTTCATCCCATCGGCTCATGACGTAAAGGCCAGTTTCTCTACATCTTCACTCGTTCGTACATCATTATTACCACCTCTTGCTACTCCCATTGGGTATTCAACCACGTCAGTAAGCTGTGACGTCCAGCTCCTTGAAACCATCTCTCTGTCCGTAGAGAGTGTGTATTTTCCTCCCATGAACTCCTATACACACCGGGGATGGTCTTCCAATCCCTTTTGTCCTAATAGAAAAACAAACACCGACCAAATTGCACGTCTATACACCGATACATGGCACGTATCGCACTCGATTGAGAAAGGGGCTTCAGATGCGCCCTTCTAACGCAGCGAGTTGGGCGGCCAGTGCCTCATTTCCTTTCAGTAGATCCTCCAGCCATTCCGCTGCCATCGCGAGCATAGTACTCTTACTGAAACCGCCTCCGCGAAGGCCAGGAACAAGGTCACACAAGTCGTCAAACCCTTCTTTAATCAGAGTGCGCCGTTTTTGCTCACTCTTTATGTGGTTCTCGCGCTTCTGTTCTTCCGAAAGATTCTCTCTCGACACTTTGCTATTGTTTGCTGCGGACTTGCGACGTTTGCCGCCAGCAACCTCATCTGCAACAGCCGACATGATGGAACCTGCACGTTCCGCTTTGGGTTTCCGCCTCCGCCCAGGCTTCGGCGTGATTGTCTCTTCTTGCGCCTCTTCATCTGGAGTATCTTTGTTATTTCTGCTCTTCCGCCTTTTACGCGGGGGCGTATCAGCTTCTTGCACTTTTGTGAGCTCAGTCAATTTGCTATGAGGAAGCGGCCCCTTGGTATGAAGTGGGCTGCTGGGTCGCGTGTTATCGGCGCTTTTACTAGGCTCGAAACACTCAAGAACTTTGAGTTGCTCCTTTGTCAAGGACTCGGCGGTTTCTTTCTCCGAGTTGGGAGTATAGCCTTGAATGCGGTTGAAATTGGCATCAGAACCCCACTGGTATTCGGCAGGCGGTGCTCGATGCTGGCGCTTGTCATGGGGTCCCATCATCCAGTCTGGGTAATGTTCTTGCTCACTTGCTGCAACGCTGCGTCGATGGTCTTCCCGGAATTCTTCTATAGGTTGGTGTCGTAGGTGGCCTACTGGAGGTCCTATAGGGTGCCTCTGTAACGAAGTATCAATTCCGTTGGAATTCTGACGCTGGTTTGGGCCGTTTTGAAGCAGAGTAGCCGCCGCGTTCAGCACATCTTCGGGAGTGTGTGTATGCTCAGTCTGATGTTGTAAGTGGGAAGGAGGTGGCGGTGGCGGTGGCATCAAATGGGATCCCAATGGTGCCATGCCATGGAACTCGTTCAGACTATGGGTGAGTCCTTGAGCCGGCGGCTCGCCAAGTGAAGACCCTGGCTGTTGACCGAATGAAGTACTGGATCCCATGAATTGCGGAGGAAGATCAAGCCAGGTATCGCTGAAATTAAGCCCCTCACCGAAGGAGGGCATATTGTAATGGTCTGCATTGATATCGTCGAAGAAGGACGTCAAAAGCCTGTTGTCGGTATCTGTCAAGAGAGGAGCTCCAGGTGCAGGCTCCGGCGGATCGTTGATCGGAGGATCTTGATTAGGATCGAATGAATCTGGTCGGGTTAGAGATTAGCAGACTGCTCTTTGAATTGGTGGATGCGACGCGAAGGATAAGGATCTCGGCGAGCGGTTCACTTACAGCCAAAAGGCATAAAAGGATCTGAGGGCGGCTGCGACGAACCCATCCTCGGAGCGTGCTGTACGGCGAGCATGGATGCGTCTTTGGTAAGATGGGCTTTTTTGTAGAGCAAGCGATGTGCTACAAATGAGCCACAGTAGATGTATAAACTTTTGTGATTTGAAGGACTGATAATATTTGGCGGGCGTATCTCGACTCGACAGTGTAAATGGTAATGTTTCCAGAATGGTGTGCTTTTTTATTCGGCATCAAGAGTGTAGATAGGACAATATCAAGCTATGTTCTGTCTGTCTAGCACATGACAGTTCAAGCCCACCAAGTTGATGGCAAGTGAGTATGCCTGGGGGATTTTCGATTCGCTTCACGTGAAGCGCAAAGAAGCAGCTGTTGTATCTGTCTGGAGTCTAGGAAGGAATTGCTGAGTCGCCAGAGCACGAGGAGAAGATCGATGCAACTGTGCTGGTGAATGGGTCGTGAATATATTATAGGCTCTTGCGATTGTATGCGTGGCATGTACGTTGCTGTTTTATGTGCTTCTTGGATAGAAGACAAGGAAATATGCTGATAGTCGAGTTGTGTCGCTGGAAGCAAACAGCTGTAAATGGATGTTGGAGAAAAGTCGTTGACAGTAGAGTTGCAGAGCTGCGTGCTTAAGCCATGGAGGAGAAAGAAGAAGAATAAGAGCGACAGGGGATCAACACAAGAAGGGATTTAGTCTGGACGGGGAGTGCATGTGCTAAAACGTGCATTTGCTGCGTCACATCACACCCGCGACCTAGATGAAGACAAAGAAGGAGCAACGAGGGCCCGGCATCTCCTGCTTCTTCATAGGATGGATGGCTGCTATGCTCCTGGCCGGGAAAGGTTTAGAAAATTTACCTTATAGAGGTCAAATGGTAGCGGGCCAGGAAAAGGATGGGAGGGTTGGGATCGTGGTGGTGGTGGTGGTGGTGGTGTTTAACTACCTACTAGGTAGTATGTACTATAGGTAGGTAAAGCGGTTTAGGTAGGTTGGAGGAAAGCGGCGGGAGCCCACCGTGACTGTCCTGGGTGCAGAGGAACGGTACGGCAGGTGGAAGGCGGACCACGAGGAGTAACTGAGACTTAGACGGAAGGTAGTCTTGTTTTTGGGGAAATACGTCCAAGGACCAGGCTTGCACGGTAATTGGACCTGTTGGCCCATGTTGAGCACACTTTGGACCGTCTTAGCCATGTGGGGTTGCCTCGGAGCATTAGAAGCACTCAATCTCCAAGTACTTTCTACCTCGCCCTGATGCGCTCTAGTCATCAATCCCCCATGTTCCCCTCCCCCAGGTCACTGTGTCACCTGCAACTTTCATCGACGTCGACCAGAGCCTTTAGCCTTTGGAAAAAACTTGGTTTGGAGCATTATTAGGGAAATCAGATCGTGGGTGATGTTCAGCGAGTCGAGTCGAGTCTCTACCAAAACCATAAAGTGATCCAAGCCCCCGCGCCTTGTTCAACAATTACCAAAGCTCTTTCAACACATTCGTCGTTACATCCCCCCCCCCGAGACTCCCGGTAGGGTAAGGTACTGCCCATCCTGTAGGTATGGGTACCTATCCTATGGGGGGTGTCTATGGGTCGGGTCACCTTGTCATGACGTATCCGTATATCATAGTCTGCAGTCCAACTCTACTGTATATGCATCTATGGGACTTTCACATGCTTGAACCTCTCTCATCTTCAGCACTCCCAACAGCTCTACTCTGCGACCTTGGTTGACGACGCCTCATATCCAGCTGTCATTCATTCGCCCAGCCAAGCCCTAAGAGTCAGACAGTTCGTTCATTCTTGATTGGCTCTGTTCTTCTGCTGAGAGACTCGGGAAATCTAGTCATCTTGGCGTTGCACGCAGTCGACTTACTGCAGATAAGTTGGCGGTCACTTGACTCGATTTACTCACCTGTACATAGTCAGCAACACGGTGAGGCTGAACCAACAATATTGCATTGTCTGAATCAGCCAGCATAGCCACAAGCACAAGGTCAAGCACATGCGTGCGTCTTTGTTGTCTCGAAAGTGACAAAGACTTTTTTTTTTTACATCGACTCGTGACCGCGGCCGGCCCGTGCCAGTCTGATATTCAGGGCTTACCAGGGTTGATATAAGACCTCCCCGGAAAGGAAAGATGCCAACTGAAATCATGCTTCCTGTGGGAAATCAGGCCAGGAAGAAGAGCCGAAACCTGTTAGAGCCCCGAAATTCGTCGTGGGGCTTCCCTGCCGTAGGTTGTTTTGTTTTTCGAGAACAATTTCATTCCCATGTGCGAATCTAAGTATGTCACTTGGAATTCGGATACGAACCAACTGGCACAGACGTAAACTTGGTGCTTTGATCGTAAATGACAGAAAGAATTGGGTAAGTTGTTGCTTCCCAGGGTTAAGGTGCCTTATGTAACCGATCAACTGGTGAAACTGTACCAGGTACCAGTAAGAGATCTACATCATTCGTTCTGGGCTGTTTGTTCTCTTTTCTCTTCCAGTACGAGATGTAAAAGTTCCAATTCCGGCGGCTGTCAACTGAAGGATTCTCAGTTATTCGGCCTTATAAGGTAAAATTTACGTACCGGACCCATCTTGTGCACATGCCTCTTTTCTCAATACAGCAGCTGCCTATCCCTGTACCCCAGAATTACGGGCAGACGGGTGGGGCCTTGCTCAGTTTGACCACATGCAAATTGTTGTACCTCCAGATGTTAACGTTAGCGATAACCTCACTCAGCTGTTACTTAATCTCACACCTAAAATACCTACCTACATACCTGCCGTTACAGCGAACGACCCGGATCTGTCCAGCAGCAGCCGTTACAGTAGAAAATCTGGAACGTCTCATGTCTAAATCTGTTTTCAACTACCGTGCCCAGGCCCAGGCCCAGATTGATCGGTTCTCGACTTCGATTTAGCTGAGCCCCTGAACTCTCAGGTCATCATCATCATCACCAGCGTCACCAGCAACATCGTCAGCCCTCCAATTCGGGCACTATCCGTATAATCTGCCACGAGTCCTTTTGAGCTTAATTTTCTCTTGAATACTCGCTAGGCTGTTTCATACTCTCAATCCACGGATTTGTTACTCAAAGAATAATAGTTTCTGTTGTGATAGGTTAGTTTCACAATCCCGCATATGTATTGAACTTCTCTCATCTGCATCTGCATCTGCAACTCCATCAACATGCAGCGGTTGCGCTACGCTACACTGCCTACCTATAGCCTTGGCAGGGGGGGCGTTGTGATCTACGACCTGTCAAGGTAGATCATTTACGTTTCTCTCCTCTCGGTCTATTTCCTGCAGTACATACGATCCATGCTTGCCATGTTGCATATTCACACGCGGCATCTCGAATTATCAAGCCGAGGCTCGAGATGAGAGCTCGGCGATGAATCTCCACATTTTTGATCAACTCCAAGGGCACATTTTATCATATCAATCTCCTGACTGTTCGTTCATTTTATCTGGCCAAGAGCCTAGATATCTTTGGCGCCGTTGCCGTCGAGTTCTTGTCATCAACCCTCTGTGATACTTCCTCATACGTTGCATGATGTTGACATATCCCCCCGCTACTCCAAACCGCCGACCTCCCCTTTTCGATCATCTTTACACCACCTTTTTCTCTATTCATTATACTTTGCAGGGGTAGATCTGTTATTGACCGCTCATAGCCTCATACACAGTCAGGATCCCCGCGATCATCCATCTTGTCAGATACCCACCTTCTGAGTGCCACCGGTAGCAGGTGCCGCAGCCCTGCTTCGGGACATTGTTGGACATCTCTTATGCTGGAGCAGCATGGCTATGCCTGCAGTTGATGTGCGCCCTGCCCGTAAAGGGCCCCTGAGGCTCGATCCTATTCCCGAGATCGTACGCCCTTTGATTCGCGCCTATCTCTTGGGCTATGCATCTGCCGTGGCTCCCCGGCTGTTGACATTAGTGTTACAGCATGTTGCGAAGAGAAAGAGAAAACTAGCCAACCAACTTGCCCCGGACCTTGACGATAGCTCATTCGTCAGCTCTGCGGCACACATAGTGAGGACAGGCTTCAATCCGCAGCGGTTTCCCACGTTTTGTGCCATACTAGCTGGTGGCACTACTCTATTGAAGGCAAGTTAACCTACTTATGATGGACTTGGCCCAGTCCTAGAAATTCGCCTACTTTTTTCTGACATTGGTCGCCTTGTCCTTGTTGGCTGTCAGAACTCACCGGAATGTTAATGTTACTTTGATTTGCCGTTAGCTAATACGCCGAAAGGAACCTTTGAAAAGCATTCTAGAGAAAACCACAAGGGGGCTCAGCGAGGCAGGTCGTTTGAGGTAGGCCTTCAGTTTCACTCTAATGAATCATGATGTTCCTTGCTAAACAATCGTCCCAGACTTGCAAGATGGTTGTCAACATTCCTTGCTGCCTGGTTTGGCCTGCGGCTGCTGCACTCCTACGAGGGCCGAGCGTATACCGAAACTGTGCCACCGAAAGAGGGCTCGGCCCATAATACCGAGCCTCAAACAGTCAAGTTTGCTGGTCGGACAATGGATCTAACCCTGTTTGCCGTCACTCGAGCCCTCGATGTCCTTGTTGGTGATCTGTGGGCGAGGCACAAGGCCCGTCGTCTGGCCTCCAACAGGTGGTCCAAGGTAATTAGACCACGAAAATCACCTGATTATGATTATCAGATATCCATAGTTGCTGACACCTTCCTAAGGCTGAACGATTCCTCTCCAAGTTTGTTGACCCCCTTGTCTTTGCAGCTTCATCAGGCCTTGTTATGTGGGCTTGGTTCTATCATCCTAGCCGTCTGCCCCGCAGCTACAACAAATGGATCACTTCGGCAGCATCCGTGGACTTAAGGCTCATCGAAGCCCTTCGCCGGTGCCATTCAGGCGAGTTTCAGTACGGCAAGGAGACCGGTCAGGCACATCTCCTCCAAGGCATGTGTGTGGACTACGAGTGGCCACTTGCCTGGGGAGATCCTGCGGTAGTTGTTCCCATACCTTGCCAGATGGTCCATATGTCCAGCGGGCCTTCATGCGAGTACCATGCTGCAAGCCGCTTCTTTCGAGCCTGGAAGTGGTCGATGGCTACGTACTTGCCCCTGACACTCGCTCTAGCTCTTCGGAACCCCTCTCGCAAAGCCCTACATCGGGCCATAATCTCGTCCTGTCGTTCCTCTAGTTTCCTCGCAACCTTTATCACACTCTTCTACTATGGAGTCTGTTTGAGCCGCACACGCGTCGGACCCCGTCTTCCTGGCGGCACAACCACTGAGCGTCGTCAGAGCATGGATAGTGGAATCTGCGTTGGCACGGGTTGTCTGCTATGTGGCTGGAGTATCATGATTGAAACAGAGAGCCGGCGAAAGGATATTGCGCTCTTTGTTGCCCCTCGTGCCCTGGCCACTGTTCTGCCTCGACGGTATTCTTTGGACAAAGAGTGGCGAGAGAGACTTGTATTCGCCGCCAGTACTGCCGTTGTCTTTACGTGTGTGGCAGAGAACCCTGATCGAGTGAGGGGTGTCTTTGGAAAACTGCTCAAGATGGTTCTCAGTAAGTAAACGAGCTGGCTCGGCATACATCACGAACTGGGACCTCTGTTTCGTTCTAGTCATTCCCGTCCTTCCTTTCTTGTCGCAGCCATTGTGTACAGTATAGCATCGTTGCATAGAATAGTACTTGAATTCTAATGTATAATCATTAAGCAATAAGGCCATATTTGGACACAAGGCCATGCTTGTAATGTAAAATGATGATTCAACTGCAATGTGTCTATGCTACTAAGCTAATTATCCCTTAAACCAAGCAACAGCCCCTAACACAAAAATACAGGCCAGTATATCACTCCTCACTGTGGTAAATATCTGACCATAACGCATCACGACCTCAACATATCCCTTGGCAGGCTGGGGTAAGAATTGCACCACAGTACCTACAATGCCAGAAGGGGGGCTGCCTCTCCTATCCAGAAAGAAGCGAGTTGTGAGTAGCAGCGACTCAGCTGTGGCAAATGTCCAAAAGAACAGCTTTTTGCGGTGCTCCAGTTCCGTCTCAAGCTCAGGCTCGGCGGCTGCGATGAGCGGGTCGGCGGGTGTCGTGCCTGCAAGAGCGGCACGCTCACGCTCGATCTTGCTGCCAGTGAATGGGGTAAGGATGACGATGTAGAAGCCCAAGCCGAGAGCTACGAGGGCGTGGAGAAGACGCCAGAGGTTTGTAGAGGCGCTATTGCGGACGGCCGTGGGCGGTACGGGGGGTCCTTGGCCGGGCGCCATGCCTGGCATACCGGGAAAAGGAGGCATTGAGCCAGCAGGAAGACCAGCACCAGCCATCAGCTGGGACATCATCTTCATCATGGGATCTTCCTCAGCTGCTCCGGGTGCAGGGCTAGCGGTACCGCTGCCATTACCACGCTCAAAGCCAAGCATCATCTGTCGCAGCTGATCCTCTGAGACGGCGGGTTCTGTGATTCCAGGTGCATTCGTTCGTGAAGTGGCAGTCCGCTTCGGCTCGTAGTAGTGATCTGAGATATCGACTTCTTCTGGGTCGGCATGATCGGCGGTAGCAGACGCAGCGGATGCTGAAGCAGCGGGTGCTGGCGTTGGGGCATCAGCCATGGCAGTAGACGCAGTAGTGGGTTCTGGTTCTGTGTAAGAAAGTTAGCAACTCTGCAGCTGGATCTGTATGTAACAACTGCGTCGAACCTCCTGGGATACGACCTCCAAGACCAGTAATCTTGTTCAACCTTGCAGAACCCCCGGCTTTGAGCTTGGCTTCACGGCGCTCTTTGCGAAGACGCGCTTGTTCAGCAGCTCGCTGGGCGGCAGCGTCGTCAGGACTTTGCGTCGTCTCCGACATGATTTTGTAGCTATTGGTAAGCGTCTATTTCGGGTTGATATTGAAATATTGGTGTTGATGGGCTCTGGTGACGATGATGTGGTGCTTTTGCTTGAGTGGGGATCCATTGACAGCTGGCCATGATATACGGAGTACCTAGGGCAGAATAATACAAGTCACTTACCCTGGAGATTCATATGCTGATATCGCGATACCTCACACTTTCTTTTGGCTTATAAATAAATGGTATTTGAATTTGTATAACATATTTTGTTCTCGAGCCTTGATCCGGAATGGATATTCTATTTGAATATTTCACTGAAATATTCACACATATCTATGAAAGGACACATCAGAAGTTCAGAACTCTATCCAACCATGGGAAACCAACCTGACTTCACTGATCGGTTACGAAATAGTATCTGAAGAAACATGCCAGAGTTTTAGAATCATGGCAGTATTAGGAGTTAGACAGGCACACAATAACATCTTCATTTATTTTTCTATCTATCAAACCATCGGCGTGATTGTCTTCGTGTAAGACTTCGTCCCCAACCATGCACCACGCGCTAAGCCAAATATTCAACATCACATCCGCACCCTCCATACATAATCCATAAGTAAGGCACAATAAGTCGTGTTATACTAAAAAGAAGCTTGATCACGGGGTAGCCTTGCTCATGCTAATCAATCGCTTGACACCGACCTATTGTTGGGCGAGTTAGCATTGTCACAGAGTTATGTATGACACAGCGAGAACTTACCATCCAGTTGCCGCACTCCTCAGTCTTGTCTCTCTGAAGCTCAACCTGAAGCTTGTGTGCACCTTCGTAATTCTTGACCTCAAGAGCATTGGCAAGCTCGGTAAGCTGTTCAATTGTATCAGGCTTGACAAGTTCCTCGTTGTTGAGGTGGTCAAAGAGCAAACCAAGCCGCTTCTGCGTGTCCTTGACTTGGGGTGCAAATGTCGCAGGAGCCTTGGATGCAACTCGTTGCATATCCTGGTCTAGGATGTCTACCAAACGCTGGGCATTGGGCGGGATATGCGAACGGTCACCAGCAGGATGTCTGGCCTTGGGAGGGGCCGAAGCCTGGGCAGGGGCAGGAGTTGGCTTGGGAGAAGAAGCAGCGGGAGGTCCGCCAGGAGGTCGGCTCATGGGAGGAGGCCCAGTCGGAGGAGGTCCCGTGGGAGGCGCAGACTGCTGAGCAGGAGGAGCACCATATGGAGAGGGAGCATACTGGTTATGAGGCGTCGACTGCTGAGGAGGAGCTCCAAATGAGCCAGCCGGAGGACGGCTTGCGGCTCCAGGAGGGGGTACAGACCCTGGGGGCTGGCTGTACTGCTGCTGCTGCTGTGCTACAGGAGTGGGAGCGTATCGGTTAGTGGGAGGGCCTCCTGCTGGAGGAGCATTGTACGGTGATGCTGTTCGAGGAACGACATTGGGCATTGGTGGGGGGATCGCGCCGGCAGCAGGGGGAGGGGGTGCGTATGGGTTATGGCTACTGGCAGCAGGAGGGGGAGGAGCCTGGAAGTTTTGTGGAGGAGCTGCTAGAGGTGACTGAACGCGAGGCGGCGCTGAGCCTTTGGGAGGTGGTGGAGGGGGAGTCGAGCCAGTTCGCTGTCCAAAAGGAGAAGCACCAGGAGGTGGAGGAGGCACACCTGTGCCTTGTTGGCCAGGGAAAGGAGATGTGATAGGCTGGACACTGGGCGTGGTCCTGCGTGCCGGGGGTGCTTTAGTGACAAGAGGGACATCATTCCAGTTGTCCATGTTCTTCATCTTGGCTGCAGGTGTCACTGATGAAGGTGTTGTGTTTCGAGGAGGACCGCTCATCGGTGGGGGTGCTAAGGGGGCGGGAGCACCGTAACCCGGCTGAGCAGGGGGCTGATAACCAACTGGCGCTCCATATCCAGTTTGCGCAGGAGGGGCATAACTGTTCTGTGGTTGATAAGGGTTTGAGGGGGGCTGATATTGCTGTGCTGGCGACCCAGTTGATCGGGGAGCAACCGGGGTTGGGGCAATATGGCTGTAGGGATTAGCTGGGACAGAGCCAGGCACAGTGCCAACCACAGGTACGGGCTGGGGAGGTTGGTAGCCAATACCAGGCTGAAGCCTGGACGATGTCCGGCTCGATGAAGCTGGCACTCGTGAAGCGGGCTGAGCAGAAGGCTTCTTGGTAGCAAGACGCACACGGTTCCTCGCCAATTCCGCCGCGGGGTAGTTGGAAGGGAGGAGATCAAGGTACTTCTGGGCGGTCTCTAGTTGACCGTGACCAGCAAGGATATCTGCGTACTCGGTGTACTTGTCATAGAGAACGGAAAGCTTCCAATCCGAGGTCAAGTTTGTCTCGTTATCCTGGAATTTGGTGGTGTGGCGGAAGACAGTCACCTTCTCGATGAAATTCTGCAGAGTTTTAGCATGAACTGAGAACGTGGAGTCTTCAGTCTCCTCTTTCAGTCCAGCCTGCTCAGCCTCGTCAAATTCGTCAACCCAGATAGACACCACCTTCTCGAGCTTTGATCCAACCAGGTAGCAGAAGAAGGCGTCCTTTCGATCGCCGTCTTCGTTGATTCGGTCGCCGAGCGCTTCGCAGAGGTCAGAGAACTCATCAGGGTCGGAAAATGTACAAAGGATAGCCATGGCCTCCTTCCAATTATCCAAATCGGCGTTGTAGACCACATCCCAGAGGTTCTTAGCTATAACAGAACCGAGTAAGCGCATGTAGCTTGGCATACCGCTCTTGCGGGACAGATACGCAGCTTGAACCTTGTCAACAAGTTCTTGACCACCGCAGTTGGCGATCAAGAATGCGTCGGCGAAACGGTCCTCCTTAAGGCAGAGTTCAGTTGCCTTGGAAAAGTTTCCCAACATCAGAGCAGAGGTGATGCTCTTTTCAACTGTGGTATCGGAGTCACTGAAAAGATGGAATGGATTATCAGTCTTGGCACCCTTTGTAGCGGCAAGATTGGACAAGAAGTCGTCACCATCGCCCTCAGCACCATCAAAGAAGCTCGAGACTCGCTTCTCTTTCTTCTCTTCGACGTCCTCATCTGAGGGTTTGCTTTCCTCATCTTCTTGGACTTTGGATGTCTCCTCGGCACTGCCATTCGTGAGTGTGTCCTTGTTGAAGCCAAGATATTCGACAATTTTGCTACGGGGGTTCTCGCCAACAAGAGTCTCCATCACTTTCCAATCAGCCTTTTCCTCATCAGTCTTGGCTTGCTCAACCCGATCGGCACATATTTCAGAGATCTTGCCAGATGCGATGTCCTCCTGGAACTTTTGGCTAGCAGTAGAAATGTCAGAGTCAACAGTGAAATTGGTGATCAAGATCTTCGATGAACGGTTTTGCCCGGGCTGAGTAGCATTGGGCTTGAACACGACAATCTTTCCACCAAAGCCGAATGAAGCACCCACGGGCCTCTCGAACCAGTTGGGAGCCTTGGCCAACGACCAAGAGGAATCTTGAGGCTTGTCCTGGGCAGCGTGGAGGAAGAAGTCCTCATCGTCAAGGTTCTTCTCAGCCGCGGCCTTCGTAGTATCAGGGTTGGTGTTTTGGAGAGTCTGCACGGTGATCTTGCCGTCGGCGCTGGCAGTTGCCGAAAGATTGGGGTTGTGAGGGTTGAATCGAGTGAGAAAAGCGGAGTTCGTCGCCTCTGGCAGTTCACCGTACCGCTCGCCAGTGTTGGGATTCCACACGATGGTACGGTAATCCTTACCCGAGGACAACAAGAGGTCGGCATCTTGCTGGCACCAAGACAGGGATAGAATACCAGACTCGTGACCTTGAAGCGTTCTCTCGGGAGCATTGGAGTTTCGCAGGTTCCATAGAAGGATGACAGGGGAGTTGTGATCAGGAGTAGCTGTCAGGAGCTTCGTCGAGTTGTTGGGGTCCCAAGCAATGGAACTGACAGCCTTTCGATTGTTGTTGAGTGTTAGAGAAGCCTTTTTAGTCTTCAGGTCCCAAACGGTGACAAATCCACCGTTTCCACCGGTGGCGAGAATGTGTGAGACCTTTTGGTTCCATGCGAGGCATTCGATGTCGTCTGATCGGGCAGTAGAATTGCCTAGTCGGAAGGGGTTGGCAATATCGTTGACATCGTAGATGAAGAGCTCTCCCTTGGCGCCAGCTGTGGCCAGGATTTGAGGCTTCAAGGGGTTGAATTCAAGTGCCTTGATCGGGCCACTATGTTTTGATGTTTGAGAAATTAAGGCATCAGAGTCTCCAGCAATAAGTTTCTCAGCATCCCAAAGGTCTAGGGAGCCGTTCTCGAGAGCACCAGCAATGATACCCCTGGGGTGATCCTCATTGGGAGGACCCCATGCAACGTCGTAAAACCTGAAGTGTTGATCAGAACATGGGGTTTCAAAAGCGCATTCTTGAGTATCTACCTAGCGTCGGTGTCGATGCTAGCGACAGGTTGTAGTTCGAGGCCTTGTTGTTGATCATCCAGAGCAAGATCCCAGAGTTCGAGCTTGTTGCTCTCGTCGGGAGAATCGACATGAGTACCGGTGGCTAGAATTGGCTTGCCAGCACCTGGTGACCAGGCGAAGGCGGCCGTTCGTGGAATGTCTCGAAGGCGCACCATGATGGTGATGGTGGGGAGCTTAGGGACTAATGCGACAAGTGTACCAGCTCAGGATGGTGTTTCGATATAATAAGACGAGTTAAAAAGACAAGAAAATGGATAATTACGGCTGAGAAGACTCCATAAAGTTCTCAACGAATCGTCGCCTCTGCCCGCAGTACTGCTTCAAAAGGAGTTCGAACGAAGCAGGGCGAGGTCGGTGGAGGTGTGTCCTGTAGTGGGAGGTATGATGCCAGATTGCAGGCTGGCTGGCTCTCCCCCCGTTAGTTGGCTCCTCCTGAGTCCTGAGCTCCCTGTGGCCACGTCCGTGCCTCCTGAGCTGTCCAGGCGGTGGGGCTGCTTGTCACGTGAAGAGAGAGCTTGATCAGCTTCTGGTATCTGAGGTATCATGTTTATAGGTACGTGAGTGCTAGTGAAAAGGGAAACGAGTTGAGAAAAGCCCGAGATATCCTAAATACTAGGCGTTCCTATGAGTAAGGAATTATATGGGGAAAATGCGGAAGTTTAAAGGTCAATCGGTATTGGATTTATTACTCTGCTAATGTTGTGATCAGACTGACTTACAGACCCCAAAGGAAAGCATATGCCTTGATATTATAAGCTGCGTGTCAGAGAATCATCAATCATGCCTTAAGGGATAGCTAAAAAGTGAGTATGAACTATTTACATTAGTACTTTGCATAAATTGAGCCATTACCTCACAGTCATGAAGCAGCCAGAAGCCAAATGCTGTAAGTCAAGTTCGAAAAGCTATAATGATCACGTGATGAGCAGAGAACCTCCAAGCTACTCAAGCGCACCTTGAGTGAATGCTATGAGTTCAACTTCAAGGACTTTCAAGCTTACGCTAGCGCCATTCATTCTTCTTTCAATCACTAAAAAGCGCATATATCATTCCAAATGTCAGACGCAGCTCGATGGAAAGCCACTGTCTACGTAGGCGGACTATCTCAGATGGCAACTCAGAGTCATGTCCTCGATGCATTCATCCCATTCGGGGAGATAGTCGAGGTCAAAGTTCCAAAACCCGATGCGCCAAACTCTACAGAGACACACAGAGGATTCGCCTACGTCGAGTTCGAAGACGCAGCTGATGCGAAGGAGGCTATTGATAACATGGATCAATCGGAGTTTTTCGGAAAGGTCCTAAAGGTATCACAGGCCAAGGCACCTAAAAGCGCAGAGGATGGACTTGGTAGCAGAACAGCTATTTGGGAGAAGGTATGCTATAATCGAAATGATTGAAAAGCAAACTAACATGGTTTATAGGAAGGATGGCTGGCCGAGCATGCGGCAGATGATGAAGACGCAGTGCCAGGTGCCGGTCCTGACCCCATGCAAGGATTGGAACAACTCGACGTTGCAGGACCAAAACCTGAATGAGGATACAAGTTGGAGGTTTGTTACTGAGCTTATTGCCGGCATAGCGAAGGCGTTCAAGGCATTGGATTGGATCACGGTTACTGGCGAGTAAAGATGACATATCATCACCGAGAATATTCAGATTTTATACCTGATGGGTTTCCCTACTACCACACTCGTCTGAAATGTACAGTACTGTCCTTCCAAGGACGTGTGGACATGCAAACAATTTCATTTCCCCAATAGCATCCCTATCTTTATGCCAAACTTAGTGACCCTCACTCTCGCCCTCGGCGTGGCCCTCGGCATGGCCAGCATCGTGGCGGCCAGCAGCACCCTGTCGGGCCAGACGGAGGTTCTTATCAACGAGGAACTTGCGAGAAATGGAGTAGCCGGCGGCGCCGAGAGCGAAGCCAACGACGACAGCTAGATATAGATATTAGCCAAAGACATGGTTCAGTTGAGTCGTAGTGGTTTACCGAGAGGGTACAGCTCAGGAGGGATCTGCTTGAGCTTTCGGAGACGCTGAGAGATGGTGTGGCCTTGGATTCTGTCAGTATGCAGACCGATTGAGATAGTTTTCGCATCCGCATCCGCATGTGTAGGATCGGGTCGTTCGATTAAGCATCGTCGGGAATTTGTAGCGTTACGTACCAGCCTGGTCCTCTTTCTATAAAACGAAGCTGGGTCAGCAATTGATGTCATACTGAGCCGAGGGCTAAAGAGCTCGTTCCCTCAGACCATTGCATAGAATTGGAGATACTCACGGGGACGGGTCGCAACATGCGAGGCGTCTGCCTGAACATTCGAAGAGCAGTGGTAGAACGCATCTTGGAGTGAGTGGGGAGGGTCTAAGGGATCAAAGTCCAGAGGTGATGGTTCAATTGGAAATTATCGGCCTTGGAAGGAGTGTTTGGAGTTGGCCGAGCGAACGAACATCTGCTGATGTGCAATTGCTAGAGCCTAGCAGGCCCACCAGTCAAGATGGGTGCCTTACGCCATGCGCCATTGGCCCGAGGTAGCCTGAGGCACACACTGAGCTCTCCCGGAAGGAAATCGAACCACCTGATTTGATTCGAGCCGACACCCATCCTAACGTCGACGCATTGGATACTTACTCAACCTCTCCATCCTAAACGCACCGAGCTCCATACTCGCCGTCATTGACCCCAGAAGAATCTCCCCTCCTCCAAGTCAATTCCTCTTAGCAGCTATTCACAATGTCGGACGACGGTCAGGAGCTTGTTACCAAGCCTTTCAAGTTTGTCACTGGTATGTTCAATGCTTGTTTCCCTGATAATCCCGCTGTTGGTACTGCCGTTGCGGGCTCGAAAAAATGACCTGATTTGGCTCCGAGGCTAACACTCCTACGCAGCTGGTAAGCCTGAATCCCTCGACCACCACCATCATTACCACCGATTTCCCCTCGACGACAGACTGCGATTACGCGACCCCGGCGACGATACTCATTGGCACTTGCATCAATTCCTAGGATTCGATCTAACACTTCACAGGCACTGACGCTCGTTTCCCCAACCAGAACCAGACCAAGCACTGCTGGCAAAACTACGTCGATTACCACAAGTGCATTCTCGCCAAGGGTGAGGACTTTGCGCCTTGCCGCCAGGTACGAGTTGCCAAGAATCACTTCCACCTGCGATGTTCATGCTAATTGACGTCTAGTTCTGGCTGTCTTACCGATCTCTCTGCCCCTCCGGCTGGTATCAGCGCTGGGACGAGCAGCGCGGTATGTTGAACCCCAGTGGTTCCAATCGATCTCGATCAAAGACTAACGCATTGCGCAGAGGCCGGAAACTTCCCCGTCAAGCTCGACGCCTAAGCAGACCCCGTAGACTGGATGGATTAGTGGATGCTGTTAGAAGAGTCAGAGCAGACACACTGCAATTGTATCATTTGTGATATTGCTTTCAAAGCTAACCCCAAATATTGACTGTTGTGTTTTGAATCCTGGCTTTCCGCATTGTGATGACGTCTCCAGTCTTGAGTGGTAGACTGTCAAAAGAGATTATTGATATTATTTTAGCTATATGAGGCTCATGCAAAAGCGCTGGCAATTCAAATTCCTAAATAATACTCCATACTCCGTCATCCCAAACATGGCTACTGCGATTGGCCACTATGAGTCGTAATGGCGAATCCCTAATTTGATGGCCATTTTGACGAGACATATCAATTTTCCTCATCTTCATCATCTGAACTCATAAATTCATCGTCCTCATCGAATCCAAAGAATGTCGTAGCTTTGCCTTTGCCCTTGTCGGCCTTTGCCCCTTCGGCAGGGGGCGGCGTTGACTGCTCTGATGATGTACCCTTGTCCTCATCTGAACCGGATTGGTCGTTGCTTGGCTGTGTAGAGCTCGAATCGTGAGATGTGCCGAGCAAGTTGTCTTTGTAGTTACCAGCCTTCATGGCAGCCAAAACAGCCTCTCGAGTTCGCTCACTACTCTCTTCCTTGTCCTCGACCCACTGACCGTCAAGACGACTCTTGCTACCCGACTTAATTTCAGCTTCCTTCTGCTCTGACATTTGAACGATCTGTTCCCAACGCTCACGGCGCTTCTCTTTCTCCTTCTTTTCCATCTCGGGCTTGATAGCTAGATACTCAGCCAACGCCTTGGCCTCGTTCACAGTACGTAGACGTCGTCCATCCAGGTTTCGGCTAGATCCGTGGTCCTCTTGGCTCTTCTTTTTGCGCGAAGACATGCGACCACCCGCGGCTCGAAGTTGAGATCCGAAACCACCCTTGCCACCACAAAGGGGGACAGCGAGTCGCAAGGAAAGGAATTCATCGTCGGCAGTGGAGAGATAGCTGGAGATAGGAGAGTCTGATGAGGCTGGTAGTTGCTTGTTCGATAGTGTGGTGAGGATGAGTCTTGACTGAGTCGTCGGGAGTCGATCATCTATGCGTTCGCGCAGTTCTGTAACTGTTGTCGATGATGCCAGAGGAAGAACGAGGGTCGATGGTAATCCTAGGCCAGCAAAGCTAGTGACCAGCACGTTCACATTTCGGGGAGCCATGGTATGGTATGGGATGTATTCAATTTCAAAGATAGCAGAGGCCGTTGTGATGAATGATTGAGAAGGCCTGTCCCAAAGATTCGACGCTGCTTTGGTTGTTTCTCATGCAAATGGCCTGCACCTGGCAGATAAGCGGGCCCTTCCATCAACCACTAGCCTGCCACACCTACAAGCATCAGCCACAGCGCAGTCGTCCTCATCACGTGAAACCAGCCACAGATCAGCCACGTCTCCACCCCACTTCGCTACATCCAAATTCTAGTAGGGTTTCCGCCCACAAAAGTTATCATTTTGAGAAGTCGTCTTCGTCCCTCCTAAACTGCCACCTTCCAACATCGACCCTTCCGACGAGCAGCAAATACCGCCACGATGTTGATTCCCAAGGCCGACCGCAAGAAGATCCACGAGGTAATAACCATTACATTCATCGAACTGCCTCTGCGCACCGACGACGGCGGAGAATTGCGAGCTACAGAAGAAAGCACAAAATCATGGCGCACATAACTAACAGTTTCCCGGCAGTACCTCTTCCGCGAGGGTGTCCTCGTCGCCCAGAAGGACTTCAACCTTCCCAAGCACCCTGATATCGACACCAAGAACCTGTTCGTTATCAAGGCTCTGCAGTCGCTTAACTCTCGCGGCTATGTCAAGACCCAGTTCTCTTGGCAATACTACTACTACACCCTGACCCCCGAGGGTCTCGACTACCTCCGCGAATGGCTTCACCTCCCCGCTGAGATCGTTCCCGCTACCCACATTAAGCAACAACGATCGCACGCTCCTCCCCGTGGCATGCTCGGCGAGGGTGAGCGCGAGCGACGACCTTTCGGCCGTGGCCGTGGTGGTGACCGAGGTGACCGTGAGGGTGGATACCGACGAAGGGATGCTGGCGAGGGCAAGGAGGGTGGTGCTCCCGGCGAGTTCGCTCCTCAGTTGTGAGTTGGCCTTCGAGAAGTTGATGGATACTGGACGAATTGCTAACACTCGAAACAGCCGTGGTGGTTTTGGCCGTGGACGTGGCGCTGCCCCCCCTTCTTAAACGAACCCATTTCCTTTAGGTGGTCACGAATGAGATGCATTTCGAAGGGTATCGGCATGTACTCATAAAAAAATGGAGGGCAATTTCTACCATGGGTTTCGCTCGTGTGACTGGGTTGCGTTGCGTGGGGGACACCGTGGGAGTTTGAGGGTTTTAGAACCTCGGAATCATTTTCATCAGGGTCAATGTTTGCCGCCGTCGAAACGAGACAATTGCTCGGGAGATTCGTGAAGACGTCAATCTTTTCAGTGATGTGAGACGAGACCTCTATGTTTATGCCAAACGCCCACCGAGGCACGTCTGAATGAACGATCCGTGCCGCTGATCCGAACTCCTGCTATGACGTGTAATGATTGTGATCTTGTGGCTATTTGAACCTTCGATCTGGCTTGGTGGCTTGGAAGGATTCCCCCGGATGTGCCGTACTCAATGCTTGACTGGGGATCTCATGTCTGACCTACCAATAGCTTACCATAATGGCCCCGGGGTTGTTCTTGGAGGACAGACTGAGCAGATCCTTTAGATAAGAGATAAATCAATGGATACCAGTGATGTTAATTTGTTTATCGGGCAGCCTAAATCAACTAATTTACTACCAATATGTCACAGGATCATTAATGAGATTTGGTGATGAGATCTTGGCCTCTGATCACTAAGATTTGTCACTATACCCACCTCGCTTGGAAGGTCTACATATTAACGCAAGCCTTTGATTAGCGAGGTATCTAATAGGAGTAATTGTGCGTATCTGAATACGTTCTTCTTGCCTGGTGCCACCAGTTCTCGTTGTCCTCACTCAACTTATTTGCCATATTTGGGCCAGGGCCAAGACGGTTAGGGTTAGCGACTCAATATAATGAACGAGAGTCACTCTGGGGCAAGTTGATAGCTGAAAGACATGCTTTTGCATTACGCAGAAGCGTTGGTTGTCAGTGACTAATGCTATAGCCCTGATATGTGACACATCGGCGGAAAGAGGGAAGATATGCGTGACGATTCAATTTACTTGAGGACTTGAATATAACAAATAGCGTATTGCTCGTCATTCAGATCCTGCTCAGACATAACATGCATCCCAGGAGTTATGGAATACCGGACAACCAAGTGTTTTTACATTTGTTGGAGTAAGAATGATGACCAGAGGATTTAATAACAAAATATATACCTAGATAGTTAGTATTAGAGGCTGGTAGCTCAAGTCTGCGTACATCATGTTACCGTGTTTATCCTTTTCAAATACTTTAACTTAGGTATACATACATGTTGCTGACTTTTGAATACTCTTTCTTGATAAGACTTCTTAAGAAATCTAGATATATCCAGTATCGTCTAGAGAGGGTGGATTGTGCCTATTCCAACCTAGATGTGTCGTGGCCAGCAACAGACACAACAGGAGCATGCCTAATCATAACTCTAAGCTGACACGAAACGTGGTCTAGGCCTTGCCATTGGGCAAAGAATAGAACAAGAACGAACTAAATAATACTGTTTAATTGGTCTTATGTCAGCAATGAACTGGTGTTTATATCTATGCGCCTTGCTCCTCAGCATTTAGCATGAGTTTATGGACGGGGACGGGCATACAGTCAGATATCTGCATGCAGACAGCAGGTGATCAAATTTTGAACGGAATTCAAGATGATCTTGACATTCTATCTTGATTGTGCATAAGATGGCCTTGATTTGCACACGTCCGAATTTTTATAAAGCAGTGCTTACATCTGCCATATGCTTATAGCTGACGCATAGACATACAATGGCTCCCAAGTTCAAACCCGTCGGGTCAGTTCTCTTGATTCTTTGCTTTCTATTGCTTTGTCTTTCATATTTGCTTGTTGTTTCTCAGCTTTCCATTACTTCTGAAGCTTACCGGTTAACCTAAAAATCGTTGTCCGCAGCAAATGCCCGACATGATTATCTCCAGCTCTCCTCTCTTCAAAGAGTATGCCCAAAAAACCTTTGATTCTGGAAACCGTAACAGAAGGGCACCCTTTTCACCCTTGGGCATCGCGGATATTGTTGTACAGCACCTTCTGGACCTTGCAAAGCTTGAAATCACTCGATTCAAGATCAGCAATGCCACTGAAGAGTAAGCGTAAGCCCCCCGTTTATACTATGGCTTGTTAATGCTTTAGCTCCTTCAATATTGTGATTGAGGGTCGCATGTTTGGGACAGGAACGATCTCTAGCACCATCATATCGACGGAGGCATCCCTATCATTCAACGGGACTGCATTTGGACGGATTAAGTTACCACAAACCAAGACGAGTTTCTGGGGCACCGACTTTGTTGTTCAGGAACAGCGTGTCGAGATCACTGACTATCCCAACTACTGTGCCTTTATTCGGGGCATCATAGTCGACGATGAAACCAGCCTTCAACTCGAAAACAACAACTGCACAGTGAGAGCACTTGGTACTTCGTCTGTATGCAACCTCCGTCTTGATATGCCACTCAAGGCTATTGGGGGGCCTAGAATGGCAGTCAAGAAGCTTTCACGCTTAGGTAGTGACGTGACAATCGTATTCAGCTTGACTTACTTAGGCCCTTTCGAACTTGACCATGGCTGTTGTATTTTCGAGCTTCGAAACGGCCATAGTGAAACATCGGCAGAGCTGAAGGGTGAACTGAACATTGCCGCAGGCCAGACTGAACTTACTCTGCATGGAACAACACGAGATGGGGCGGTGGCTTCAAACAGAGTCAGGCTTGTTGGAGTCGGCGTGGAAGCGAAAGAGAAATCATGGCTCAATGAGACCATAAGAGAGATTGATGTCCCCGTTGACTTGGAACCGAAATGCGCGGAGATATTGTGGTGCTGATACAGTACCTTGGATATGGGAGGATAGAAGACTCAGGGCCTTGATCCTAGATGACAAAAAGACCTGGTTAACTTATTATAAGTTTATAGATGTTTTCTTGCTCCCTGGCGGTTTGGTGATGCGGACTTGATCTAGTTCCGGACAATGTGTGTTGTTTTCACTTGGAATAGAGTCAGATAGTATGATAAAGATCGTCAGTTTTACAGTTTCAGGGTTGGCGATGGATTGACCAACATTGGTGATTACTTCCAGTACTTTTTCAAGATGACTGAGCTTTGTCAACAATTTGTTACCTTGTAGGCTCAGATGACATTTTCTTTGTAATTCTCGTACAAGACAAGCCCCCTTGTTAAGTGTGAGCCCACAATGCCCATTGTGTCTTGCATATAAATGCTCCGCTGCCATTCACTTTGGCAGCCTTGTTGATGATGATTCCACAATGATAAGAGCCGGCTTCGGCCGCCGGCGCGTCTACCACCAGAAACATGGGTTCGTTTGCGGGGACCCAACTGTATAGGTACAGTGGAATGAAATGAACAGCGGGTTTCGACATATCTCCTTTGTCTCTCTAGGCACTGCCATATTTCAGCAGTTAATAATTACATTAAAAATAATCGTAGCAGTTGCGTTTGCAGCGCAGTCTCAAACTTGGGTTGTTGCAGCAATTAAAAAGATACGAAATAGAGCACCACAGCATCCAATTTATTACACCCAGATGCGGCCATTAGCTTCACGATCATTGGACCGGGTTTCAGAAGCCAACCACTAACACAATACGAGGTCTTAAAAAAAGATACAGCACACTCACCTAAAAAGGCAGGATATTCGCGTTTCCCATTGCGGTGAAAGAGGACCTGATAAACACCTGAATCTCACATTGTCTTGTCCATTCCTCACTGGCCGCCAGGAACTCCACGTTTGCTTGGAAGCCCTGGTAATGCCCGTATCCGTCAAGCCTCTCGTCAACCCCTGCTTCTCGGCGTTTACAGGCGATATTCAATTGGAGTTCAACGCCCAAAATTTCCCGGGTGTCGCGGAGACGTCTGATAGACAAGGGGAAATGTACGGACGGGTCTGTGATGAATCCGTCAGAACAAAATGGGCCAAGATAATCAGGAACTCAAATGTCGGCGGCCGC